AATTTGCCTAGCTAATAAACGACAGAGCCAGGGTCTGAGCCAAGGCAGATGACCCCAGCATCTGTGCTTTCAATCATATGTTAGATTGCTTCCCCATAAGGCACACAAGGCCAAGCCTGTATATATACCATGGCATACTTTTACATAATTCCATTAGGAAAGGTTAAAATATCAATGTTTGCCACTGCAAAATGTCAAAAAATACTGATTAAGTCAAGTGTGTTGTTGGTAATAAATCACATTATAAAATATAAGGGCTTTTAAGACCATTAACTCTATCCACCTTGACCACATTAATTGGTAATGAGTTACAATGCAATTTGTGATTACCACAGAACTTTTCTAGATATAGACTATCTTAATATTTCTAATTGTAAAAATAAAAAAAAATATTCCATATAAGTGAATTTTCCAGGTAACAAAAGCATTCCCTTTAAACTCTAAAGCTTTTATGTTTGAAGTGGCAATATTTAAAAAATTTCTTTGTCCTCAAACAGAGGATCTTGGACATAGAAAACCTTTTCTTGAAAAGTCAGCTGTTCGCGTGAAGAGTCAGCCCTTTGGAAAATCATAATACTGTACAACTGTGGGGAAAGAGAAACTCTGTCCTAGGTGATAAGATAATGAAGGTTCCATCTCACCTGGGCTTGGTAAAAGGCCACTTCTGAAATCTTGTACAAATGTAAAAACAGCTTCACATAGTAGAAACTGAAGACAGAATTTAGCATTTCAGTCCCTAATGTTATCATAGAATATCCCCAAGCAATCGGTTTGATACTTAAAAGTGTCATTTTCCACACTAAGGAATTCTTCTTCCTTTTTTTTTTTTAAAGAAAAAGGAAAGTAGTTAAAATTCATACAATAGCTGTTTGCATACAATAGCTGATGGGTGGCAAAATTCCACTGGACACTAATTTTAGGTAAGGAAAAGTCTAAAACCACTAGCTATGCATATGTCACCAGTTTCAACACTTAACTTTCTTATTCTCTTAACATTTTTTGAGAAGTTGCCAGGGACCCTAATTTGCATAGAATTTAACTCACTTGCACATATATATTTTAAAAAAATACACCTAACGGGGCTCAAACTCATGACCCCAAGATCAAGAATCACATGCTCCTCTAACTGAGCCAGGTGCCCCTACTTGAATATATTTTTAATAACTCTTTCAAGTTCTAAAAGTAAGATTTATTCATGAGTTTGGATATGCTTAACTAAGGACCAAGGAGATGTGTTTACTGTATTTTCCTCCCTACTGGGGAGGGTGCAACAGAAAAGGAACAAGGAGGTAACATCCTTTAGTTAAAGTCAGGCAGAAGAAATAGTATAAAGTTAACCACTCAGTAGTGACAAACTTGCATTGGAATATTTATTCTTGGTCTTCTCCTGACAGACTGTATAACTTTAGCCCAAAGGATGTATCAAAGATGGATATTAAAAATAACACATTTGGGGGGCACCTGGGTGGCTCAGTTGGTTGAGTGTCCAACTCTTTCATTGCAGTTGAGGTCAAGATCTCACAGTCCTGAGTTGTTGAGTTTCTCTCTGCCTTTCCCTCTACTCACATGCACTTGCTTGCTGTCTCTCAAAATAAAATATTTAAAAAAATAAATAATAATACATTTGCTCTGATCTAGATGTCCCTCTTAAGTCTGACCTATTGTCTTACCCATTCAATGACTTAATTCATGCAAATAAAAAATAGGAAAAGGTTAACTAAGCAAAAGGTAGGTACTGATTCATCTTCCTTTTAACCTTGACTATAAGATAATACCATGATTTTTCTGCTTTATCCCTAACTTCCTGGAATATTTAGCCAGCTTTCCACAATCATTCTGAATCACAAAGACACAAGTATTCAGATAACTCAAGAGATGTTACTTGCTTGAATAATCCTTGGGAATTAGGCAGGCACTGCAGTCTATACTGCCCAATTTCTTAGGGAAGGGGAGGGCAAGCTAGAAGCAGGGAGTGAGCAACTGGTTCAAGTGACCAAATTATCTAAGTCCCTGAGCTTCACTTTGCATTGGGTAGATCCAAAAATGGTGCCAAATCTATAGGAAATAGGGCCCTATAATTAAGAGGGGTTATTAAACCCACATGCAGACCAAACATAGTCTGTAGACTAAATAAAGAATATTTTACTCATATGTACATTAGTATTCTTAAAATATTTGTAGGTTCTGCTGTAATGATAAGATACCATCTGAATTTTTTTGTTATCATTACATGGTGCACAAACACCTGAAAAGCACAAGTGCCATTATGTGGAGGCCAGCCAACATTTTTGGCTTTAAAGGTATTCTCAGGTTTGAAAAAGCTGGGAACTACTGGTGAAGATCCCATTCTAGGGAGTTACTTTTGGCCTAAGGGAGAATGAAAAGACTGGGTTTTCATCCAAGAAGGCCAAAACAAAGGAGTCAGTTGAACCAAAAGCCATGATACAAATTTAGCTCACCAAAACGTAGGCACTCTCCTTTTTCTTAGTTTTATTTCAGGCATGCTGAAACAAGAAGCATGCCACATCTTCTGAGCTGATCTATCATTACATCAGGAAGTGGGTATTTATAAACTCAGAATTTTGCAGAGGTTCACTGAGTTAAATTTTTTTAAAAAGAATTTGAGTTAAGCACCTATCCTGTCTGAAACATGTGACTATAAGGTTTTAATAACATTCTGAAAAACTCTTGTAGCCTGAATTTCTCTTTGTTTATATATACTGAGAAGAGGAAGTAAAATTCCCTTTATCTTCATTTGCAACAGGAACTATCAATATTTTGGTTTATATTATTTTCATCATGGTAAGTACTTATTTCAGTAAGTATTAAACTGAAAATCACCACTTACAATTTTTTTAAAGCCACCACTACAATCTAAAAACTCTCCTTACCTGATTTTCCTATAGCAACAAAACACAAATTATATCTTTACGAGCAGGGATAAAAGATTTCTGAAACTGGTTCTTCTTTACCACAAAAGGTTTTATACAGTAGAATTTAAGTAGCAAAATGGTATAATGATTAGGCTGGACAGGTGTATTATGTACTCATGAATTATTCAATGAAAACCCAAAACCCTCCTTTTAGAATCAACTTGGTTTGTTATTCACTAACCTACTACTACACTAAATAATATTAATGTCACTGAGAAGGCTGTTCCTGACTGCTTCTAAGTTTCGACTAAGTAGACTGTAAAAGAATGATGGGGACTTCTCCAAAGCATGACTTTAAGCAGCGAAAGCTAACATCTGTTTTTCAATGTGATTTTTGTACAAACTTTCCAAGGGAAAATAGTTTCCCCAAAAGGTGTCCTTAAAACGAACCCACTAATACCAAAGACTAAACTATCAGTAACTTTAACTCTCTATATCTTTCTCTCTCTCTCTCTCTCTCTTTTTTTTTTTTTTTTGCTTTTGAAGGAGAATGTGAAAAAACGTTTCAATACACTGACCAATTTGATTTGGAATCTAAGTTATTTGCCATGGAGAAAAAAGCTAGCACTTTCAATCTTGTGGATCAGTGACTATGAAGATGAGTCTCTTGAAGGTCAAATGCCTGATTCTAGCCCTTCAGCTTCCACAAATCACCGTCAGCAAATCCTAAATCCAATCATCTCTCTTTCCAAAGAGCTCTATGTGTAGTGACTTACTTTTATTTTTTTTTAATTTTTTAATTTTTTTTTAGCGACTTACTTTTAAATTAAGATAGTTGGCTTTAAATTATTTTCTTTTGGCTCTGGACTGTATCTCTACCTGAATTTTGACAATTAGGGCTAAGTAAAGGCTGTAACATAACCCAGTTTTCTTCTTTTTTTTTAACCTAGCAATAAAAACTAATCAGTAACATTTTGCCTTTTAGTATAACCGAATTCAGAAGAAAAGGATTTGAGTTTACTGTTCCTCTTTTATTACTAATACTATTATTGCTTCTACGTTTATTGGTTGGCATTCTACTACTATAGGAGAGAGCACGGCTGTCTTCTATGAGCTGTATCTTGACCTTTCCGTCAAGGTCGAGAACATTTACCTTCCAATCACCCCATTTAGGAGTTTCTGAGTTTTGTCTGCGCGATGATGGTAAAAGCCGCTCCCTACGAGTAGCAATTAACTTTAACCCCATGGAAAGCGAAGTTCACTGCCCTGCTGGCCATCAAGTGCTGCATTCAGCTCCAGCTCCCTCCAGGTGCAACGTCACGACCCTGGGTACTACACCTGGCGGTCTATGAACCTTATAAAAATCGCGTACAAAAGTGCTTGCAATTTTTCCCCCTAAGGAAATACCTTTAACTGCACCCTATTCCCTCCCCCCCCCCACACTCGAATGGGGGCCCTTCATTTCAGGGGAAGTGAGTACAACTCTCAAGGGTTTGGAGGTGAGCGCTCAATCAAGGAGAAGACAGCTAACAGCCCTAAACTACCGACCGATCCGTAATTTCCCCAGCTCGAGGAGCGCACAGCCGGGGGTCCAAAGACCAGAAGGGGCCAGCCGGGCAGCGGACCTCGGGCTCCCGGCACCCTTCGCGCCTCCGCTCGCACGAAGGGCGCCCACGACAGCTGCCCACGGCTCGGACGCGGGCCCCCGCCCCTGCAGCCCATGTAGCCTGCCCACTGGCTAACTGGCTGGCCGGACACCCACCACTGGCGCCGCGGAGGCCGCCAGCTCCACCGCCAGCACCCCAATCGCTGGCCCAGGAGCGACCCAACGCAGAGGCGAGGGCGGGGCCCTCGGCCGCACCCCTTCGCCTTTCCCCCGCCTTCTTTGTTTCTTCCGGAGTCGCCATTGGCTGCTTGCCCGCGAGACCGGGCGACCCGCGGGCCTGCGGTGAGACGGGATTGGACGACGTCGCCGCCGCTCGACCGGCGGCCCGCTCGCGATTGGCCGAGGCGCCGCCGGGGGTTTGAATCGCGGCCCCGGCCGGGGAGGGTTCTGCCAAAGTGCCACGTTGGGCCCGGCTGCGGCGTGAGGAGCCGGTTCAGGGCGCGGGCCCGGCCGCTCGCGCCGGGGCTCCGGTCGTTGGGGCCGTTGGGCGGCTCGAGGCGGGCCGGGGAGCCGGTGCGCGGCGTGCGGGGCGGGCCGCCCCGCGGCGGCGGCGGCGGCGGCGGCGGCCGGGAGCGGCTCTGGTCAGGAGGCGCGGCGGAGCCTGGGCGGCGGCGCGTCCCGCCCGAGGGCGGCTCTGGCTGAGGGCGGAGGAGCCGGTGGAGCGCCCGGGGCAGCGGCTGAGGCGGGACGGCGGCGGCGGGGGCCGCTGCCCCCGGAAGAGCCGGCCGAGATGCTGGCGGAAAACCTAGTGGAGGAGTTTGAGATGAAGGAGGACGAGCCGTGGTACGACCACCAGGACCTCCAGCAAGGTGAGGGCGCGGTCACCCCCCCACACACACACACTCCTCGGGAGGGCGGCCTGGCCGGGGAGCCGCCCGGGCGCGAGACCGTTACGAAGTCGCTCCTGCCCGCGGCCGGGGGCCGCCAGGTGCGGGAAGGTCTGGCGCTCACCTGGCGTGGGGACCGGCCGCGCGCCCAGCCCGCCGGAGGCCGCTTCTGCGCAGTGATCCTCGCCACCCCTGCGTGTGGGCCGCGCTCGGTGGGGGGCGCTTCCCCGGGGGGACCCCGCGTAGCCCGCGTGGACCGGGAGCCGCCGCAGGTGGTCGGGGTCGCGGGTGGGGGGCGGGGTGTGTGGCAGGAACCGTGCCGGGCCCGCCCACGTCAGCCGCCCCATCCGTTCCCGGGAGAGGAGCTTCTCTTCTCCTGCTCCCATTTCCCAGATGAGGAAAGCGAAGTTAAAAGGGCCAAATGACTTCGCTCGAGTCAAGTATGGGGGCGAGCATTTTTTGAACTCACATCCTCAGAACGAGGAGTCATGGCCACTGCCCAGACCCTGTGTCTTCTTTATCACCGGTTTACAGCTTCTTCAGTTGGGTGTCAGAAAGTTGAAAAAAAAATTTTTTTTTTGTTGCTTATGCATAGTTCAGATGCCAAGTGAAAGTGACTTGAGGCACTTTGCAGTTTGCGCTCTAGCTTTTATTTTATTATTATTATTTTTTTAAGTTAAAAACAGGCATTGGGATCTTGGCCTGCCTTGGATTTCTTGCCAAAAGTGTCTCCAGAGAAATATTGGAGCAGCCTTCAGTTTGGAGCCAGTGCCCTCCCTTTTTTGTTTTTTTCTTTTGGTATTAATAGCGGGAATGTGCAACTGGGGACACTTTTTGAGTGTGTGGGTTCTTAACCCTGGTGTTCATTTGATCCTCTCATCAAGCTATATGAATCTACTAGATTCTATTATTGGGGGGTCTAGGGTTCCACTCCAAACTTCAGAGCAAACTTTCTTAGCCACTATACTGAACACTCCTTAGGAATTTTTTTCAGGCACCTTCGATGTCTGCAGTTCTGGGTAAATCAACTTTTTTAGCTTTAAACGTGCACTGAAAATTAACATCTAATTGAGGTGACTATTAAATGACCATGATGTTGGTTCATGCTAATCATTGAACATGGGGTGGCAGGGAAGGATGTAGGCTTGAATGACTTGTACTTAAAAACAAAACAACTCTTTTGGGGAAAGGTGGCTTTTGATATGTCGTGGACAGTCACTTAAACCAAAGTAGTTCACCATTTCACTTAAATAGCCCAAGCTGTTCAGTGGCTGCAGTGCAGTATTTCCCATCATGTTCTGAATGTCCGTAGGTAAATTTGCCTTACATTTTAACGAAGCTGTTTTCAAAACTGCCGCCCCCCCCCCATAAGGGGGATGCCTGGGTAGCTCAGCAGTTTAGTGCCTACCTTTGGCCTAGAACGTTATCCTGGAGACCCAGAATCAAGTTCTATGTCGGACTCCCTGCGTGGAGTCTGCTTCTTCCTCTGCCTGTGTCTCTGCCTCAGTCTCTCTGTGTCTCTCATGAATAAATTAATAAAAAAAATTTTTTAATTCCCTATAAGGATTGATGGCCTAGTTTGATACATTCTCCAGGTTTAATGAGGCAACCACTGCACAACTGGAGCATTTCCCTACAATAAATTATGTAGTTTGTATAATCACAGCTAAATATTTTTCTTTAGCAAGCATAGATCTGTGCAGGCCTTCTCCTCTTTTTAAAAATCTAGCATACTTAGCACATAATAGAGGCTCAGTTTTAATACTTATTGAACTGAGTCGCTCACATAGGATTAGTGTTTTCATGGCTCCCTTCCATCAGGTGCTTTAGTCCACACTGCCCTTCCACCCTGTGGGAAGTTTTAGGAACAACCAGTCATAAGATTTCAGTCTATGGGAAACAAATGCAACATGTTGGCACTACATGTGGAATTCTTTAACCTCTGATCAAAACAAAGCCATTGGATGTTCAAGTTTAACGAAACTTTAATGAGCACAGGTCTAAATCAACTTAATGTCACTTTGCATTTGGAATTTGTTCTCTACTTTTTGGAAGACTTTTACATCTGTTACCACAATTTGACTTTGACATAACCCTGTATGTCATAACCAAGTGTGTGGGTTAGGAATAGATGTGAAATTCCAACAATCATAACTTGTGGAATATAGCCTGTAGAAGAATGAAGTCTGCACTGTGAATAAAAGGATATCTTTGTCCCAGTTTTTAAAAATTATATGTTAAAAAATACCTAAACTTTTAATGAATTTTTAAGTGCATTAATTTCCCCCCCAAAAAATATTTTTGAGTCTGTGCCAGGTATTCATCTAGGCACTGAGGCTAAAGTGCCTATCCACAGATAGGATAGATAGGATCCTACTGCTGGAGTTGACAGTCTAAGAATCTGTTTACTAGTGAAACCTGGAGATATTGCCTCCTAGGACATGCCCAACTACAGTGCCTGGTACATGGTAGGCCCTCAGTAGATATTTGGTGCTGAATACAGTTTGGGAGCAAGTCTGTCCTTTTAACGAGATTGATAAACACATCTAATGGGATTTTATCAAGCGCAGACATCTGTTTTGTAAACATCCTCACTGTTTACTGAGCAAGGCTTGTTTGGAGAGAGCTGCTGAAACAACTTTTTAAGATCCTGTTCTTAAAGTCATTAAATTACAAACCTGTTTCCTTTAGCAACAGAAGAATGATTTAAGTAAATTGACCATATCAAAGTTTGCTGGGGAATTTTTTTTTTAATTTGCTGAAAAATTCTAACTTTGGAAGGCTCTGGTCCACCATATTTATACCTTGTTAGAAATACGTAAAGCTTATCCAGGCAGAAGGAGAAAACCCTTTGCTTTTACAGAACACTTTGATAAAGAGACTGTCTTTTGTCATTGAGCTGAGTTGGCTCAGTAAGAATACTGACAATGATCTCTGTGGGTAAGATCCTTTCTGGGACAGCAGGAGCCTTCTGTGCAGGTAATGATGGTGCTTGCTTTGAAATGTGCCCCTGAGAACAAGGTGGAAAGACTTCAGAGACTGAGTTTTCTTTTGGTCCAGCTGCTGTTATAATTGTCATTGGTGAGCTGTGCAAGCTTAGAATAAGGTTTCAAATTCCTACTCTATGGATCAGCAAATGAAGTCTTAGTTTAAAGGAATCTTCATATTTCTACTTCTTTTTGTGATGAGTACATTTTCCATGTGTACAACTAATTTGCTGAATCATTGTTGAAGGGTCATTAAAACTGGCACCATCATTTTTCTTGATGTTTATATTCAGGTTTTTTGCTTTCCCAATTATAGTAACGTTGGCAACAGGAGTTACACAGAAGCATCACCAAATGACGCATTTGATTTTGTAATAGGAAAAGCTTTCAGCTCTAATGTTGTTGAATTACTGCTGCAGACCACAGCTTAACATGGGAATTTGTTGTCCTCATAGTTTGTGAAAAACTGAAGTAAAATAAAAATATGATAGCAGTGGAATTTAAAGGTTTCAGAATTCTGGAAGAGAGATTCTTTGAAAAAATTACTCAGCTGCCAGAGCTAATCTTTTGCTTTGGCATAGCGCTGAATAGAGTGCCTGTTTAAAGCTTACAGTTTATGCTGTTAAAATAGATTATTATCACTTGCAAAGATTAATTAGTGAAAGTATTAAACATATGAGGGTATTAATAGGTTTTTAATTCTTAAGCCTGAAGTAAAAATACCACACAAGTGTATTTTTAGTGGCTACCTAGTTCAGTTCAAAAGGATGTAGAAAAGACAACCTCTTAATGAAAATTTTTATTGTAAAATGGAGATGATCAGGTACATAAGACTTCAAAACTATATTGTTTCCTTTCCTTTTGTGCCTTAATTAAAAATAAAAAGGACATTGAACATTCTCTCATTCCCCCCCACTAATTATTTAGAAACCCTTCTTGGGCTTACTGCCAGCTTTTGGCTCCTTTTGGTTATGGAAACCAGATGCTACACAACAGGAAATAAAAATTTTTTTAAGACCAAAAAAAGACCCTTGTCTTTAAACTAACAGATGAAGTAATATCCTATTATGCAGTGTGACTTCACAGACACTTACTTGTAGTTGAGACTTGTTTTGCCAGAATTCTATCCTGAACATCTATGAAATATTTAGGAGATCGAGACTTCAGGTTACTGAACCAGGTTGGGGCTTTGTTTCACTGGAAATAAGGATTGAGATAAGGACAAGTCTCAAATTTTTTTCTGCATGCTATTTACTAGAAGAGTACTGTGCTTGGCATCTCTTTCTGCAGCAGCGGGAGCAGGAAAGCTGCTCCTGGCTGTGTGTTAAGTAGTAGGCAGTTTCATAACTAAATGAAAGTAGTTGAAGATGGTCTCAAGTTAGTCTTGATTCTGGGAGAGGTTTTGCCTCAGGTTTTGATCACTGATTAAGAACACCTTTGGTGAGTCTCTGGCCCTTCCCAGTGAGGAATTACTACCTTAAAACAGACCAGGAGAGACTTAAGTAATGTCTAGGTAATGTTTATATGCTTTGCCTTAAATAAGCGTGGTGCCCCTTGTGTAGGGCTATATATACACATTACATGTCCTAGGAGTACAAAATAATTATTTTTGGAACATCTGCAAGCTGTACATAGCGCCTTTTGCATTTAGTGAAAACAAGATATTAACCTGCCTGGAATTGTGTGTGTTTTCACTGGCAGAGCAGGCAATAAAAGCCAAGTAGCTCAACTCTGATTTCTCACTGCCATCTATAAAAAACAAGTGATAAGATTAAGTATCTCAAAGAAGGAAATTGACTGTCTACCTGAAACAAAGAGGTGTGTGGGTCTCCCAGTGTAAAGACATGGGATATGAAGACTCTGCGATTGGAACCTGTTGACGGTAGTTTCTGTTTTGCTGTGACTCACCATGTAGATGTGGTCAGGTCAGTTAGCATCTTTGTGCTTCACATTGTCTCATTTGAAAATCCAGGCTAAATACCTTTGAAAGATAGATTAGTATCTCTCTCTCTCTCTCTCTCTCTCTCTCTCTCTCTCTCTTTTTAGATTAGTATCTCTTAAAAGCTTTGAGCTGTTTATAAAGGTTCTATGCCTCATGAATAGAAGATGTTATTTCATAGACTTGTTATCTGAATTCTTCTGCCCATTAATGGATATTGGTTTTTTTTTTTTTGGATATTGTTAATATTTAAATCATGAGAGAAGGTATTTTAACACCTATCTACCAACATATATACTGTTTTTAAAAAAAAAAAATTATTCATGAGAGACAGAGAGAGGCAGAGACATAGGCAGAGGAAGAAGCAGGCTCCCCGCAGGGAGCCTGATGCAGGCTCCATCCTGGAACTCCAGGAGCATGCCCTAGCTGAAGGCAGATGCTCAACCACTGAGCCACCCAGGCATCCCTATACTGGTTTTTTGTTTGTTTGTTTTTAATAAATAGGTGTAAAATGTTTTAAAATGAGCTGGAGTGGTGTGTGGTAGGTTTTGATTTTTTTCATAATGAGGGAAAACTAACCAAGTAGAATACTAATTATGTACTCTAATGGACAGTACCAGGTAACAAAAGTTGTGGCTTTTCTTTTACCACTTTCTCTAGGTTAAGTTTTAATGTCAGTAATAATGAATAAACCTAAAACTATTTGTCAACCTCTAAAACTTAATTTTAAAAAGCGTATGTAGTAAGATTCCCAGTTTTCATAATATTTTTACATAATAAATGCTTTTTTATGACATTTTATGACGTAAATACTTTTTATGACATTAAGTGAAATGACTTTCCATCATACTTAAAACGTAAACATTCTTTACCATGGACTATAAAATTTTGTGTACTCTGATTTCTGTCTGCCCTCCAGCTTCATCTCTTTACTCTCCCCCTCATGCTTCTATCACACTGGCTTTTTGTCAGGTCTTAGATTATACCAAGTTCTTTCCTGTTGCAGTGCCTCTGGCTTTTTTACATGGTGAGATCCTCACTCCTCAATCAAGCCTCAGCTAAAATGTCCCTTCCGACTTTCCTTGTGACCTCTCTCTCTAGAATAGATCCTTTATTCATTATCACTAAATCTATTTTTTTTTTCTTTTTCACACATCACATTCAATTGGTTGACAGATCTTTTAGCTCTACTTTAACTGTATCTGGATTCCTACCCCTTCTCTCCATCTCTTTAGGCCAGGATCTATAACACAAACCTTGCTTTGACACTTGCATTCACAGCAGCCAGATTTCATGGGAACTTTAGAGACTATTAAAGATCTACCTGTACTTTGGCTCAAAGGTCTCCTGGAAAAAAGTAGACGATAAAGATATGAATAAGTCCAGTCCATGAACAAATAATATGGTGTTAGGCATCACCATGATGAATGATCATTTCTGAACTTAAGAATACATCTCCATAAAGTAGATCACTATTCTTTAGTCTTACAAATATGGGTACATAAGAGCATGCATTACCTGGTAGAGGGACCCAGTTCAACTGAATTTTGAAAAGAACTCTCTGGTTTCTTTCTGTGCCATGCTACCTTCCATTGAAATTTGACTTAAATTTTATGTGTTGGGTTAAGTCTTGATTCATTCTTATTTTAAGGACAGGATTATATAAAATGAGTGAGATCATTTGCATTAGTTTAATATTCATTTGTTGTGCTAGATCTCCAACTTGCTGCTGAACTTGGGAAGACATTACTGGATCGGAACACAGAGTTAGAAGATTCTCTTCAGCAGATGTACACAACCAATCAGGAGCAGTTACAGGAAATTGAGGTAATTTATTGATTAAGAGAGTTACACTTTAAGTTGTGGCATGTTGCTGCTATTGACCAGTCATGTTCTGCTAAAATAGCACTTTCAAAGAACCATTGGAGAGACTTGGGAGGTTGATTTCTATTTTTTTGTGCTTTCCCAACATATGTCTGATGAAAGAAATTTCTCTCTTTACCTTGGTGAAGTGTACTAGAAGCAAATGGTCCAGTGTTTACCATTATGTGAAACACAATAAAATTGTGAATATTATGCTTTGTTTTTAACTTTTTTTAATAGATTTTATTTATTTATTTGAGAGAGAGTGTGAGCCAGAGAGAGAGAGAGAGAGAGAAAGTGAGCACAAGCAAGTAAGAGCAGGGGTGAGAGAGAGGGAGAAGCAGGCTCTCTACTGAGCAGGAAGCCCGACTCGGGGCTCAATCCCAGGACCCTGGCGTTGTGACCCGCTGAAGGCAGACACTTAACCGACTGAACCACCCAGGCACCCCTACTTTTTTCTTTTAAAAAATGAATTATGTAATATTTCAGATATGCCCAGAGGTGTAAGAGAATACAATGAATAGCTCTGTACCCACCACCCAGCTTAAGAAAAAACTACCCATACTGTTGAGGCTCCCTCTTTGGTTATACCCCCTTCCCCAACCACTGCCAAATACCATCCTAAGTTTGGGTTTAGATGGAAAAAATTTTAAATTGTAGTACTGATTTCATGATGTGTTTAAATTTCTTGTGCCATTCAAAGAATTAATCAGGACAACCCAGGTGGCTCAGCAGTTTAGCTCTGCCTTCAGCCCAGGGTGTGATCCTGGAGACCCAGGATCAAGTCCCTCTCGGGCTCCCTGCATGGAGCCTGCTTCTCCCTCTGCCTGTGTCTCTGCCTCTCTCTCTCTCTCTGTCTCTCTCATGAATAAATAAATAAAATCTTAAAAAAAAAAAAAAAGAATCAGGGATGCCTGGCAGGTCAGTGGGTAGTGTATGCAACTCTTGATCTTAAGTTCGAGCCCTATGTTGTGGGTAGTGTATACTTAAGAAAATCATAAAATGGATATTTCTTTCTCTTTGCTTGATATTAATTTATTTACATTTTTGGTAGATTTTTAAATTTTATTTATTTTTTTAAAGATTCTATTTTATTCATGAGAGACGCAGAGACAAAGGCAGAGGGAGAAGCAGGCTCCCCATGGGGAGGCCAATATGGGACTCGATCCTGGGACTTCTGGATCACGCCGTGAGCCAAAGGCAGACACTCAACCACTGAGCCACCCAGGCAACCCTTTAGTAGATATTTTTTAAATTAAAAGAGTACTTTTCCCCTAATTGTAACAAACTAAAATGAGAGTTACTAGATTAAGTTACTAGATTAAGGTTACTAGATTAAGAGTTACTAGATTAAGGTGCTGGGGTACCTGGGTGGCTCGGTTGTTGAGCGTTGGAACCTCAATTTCAGCTCAGGCCATGATATAAGGATTGTGAGATTGAGCCCCTAGTAGGCTCCTTGGTCAACATGGAGCCTACTTCAGATTCTCTCTTTCCCTCTTCCTCTACCCCTCCCCACCCCCACCTTACATATGTACATGCACACTTGTGTGTTCTCAATCTCTCTCTTTCAAATAAAAAAATAAAATCTTTTTAAATATTCAAAATGAAAAATAAAATGCAGGGTGCTATCTTGTAAATGGTCCCATTCAAGTAGTCCAGTTATGGGTTGGCCATGTGACTATAAAGATGATAATTTTGGGGGTGCCTCGCTGGTGCAATCAGTGGAGCTTCTAATTTTTGACTTGGGATTGTGGGTTTAAGCCCCTTGTTGGGTGTACAGATTACTTAAAAATAAAATCTGTAATAAAATATAAAGATGATAATTTTGAATATTAACCTGACAGTTGTCTCATTAGAATACTTTTCTCTATGTTCCACCTCCCCACATACCTCCCCTGCCCAAAAAAAAGCTTTGCACTTAAATGACAACTCCTTCATCTCAAATTGGTACATTAGAGACAGGATTCTTGTGTTTATGTGCACGAAAAATGTAAAAGACCTTTGAACAGTGATCAGAACTTACTGAGTGGGGTACTTGGGTGGCTCAGTTGTGACTCTTGATATTGGCTCAAGTTATGATCTCAGGGTTGTGAGATTGAATCATGCATTGGGCTCCACAGTGGGCATTGTGTGTACCTAAGAGTCTCTCTCTTCCTTGCCCTGTGCCCCTCCCTGGACCCCCCCCCACAAGAATACTAAAAAAGGCAAATTCATAATCTAAATATCCTTAATTTTACATAGTAGCCATAATTAACGTGTATACAGCAGATCCTTCCCTTCATTAGGATTTATGAATACAGCTAATCAGGTGACTAGCTCTGTGAGAAATACGCTTTTATAATCTAGAAGGGTATATCTTGTAATGATATTGAAGTTATTAGCTACCACTTTTAGCATGTTCTATATCAAAAGAGCATAGAACATGCCATACCCAGATTGAATATACAGTTTCCAAGAAACCTAAAAATGCAGAAAAACAAGCATTTTAAAAGCTGTTATTAGGGGAGCCTAGACAACTCAGTCCATTGGGCATCTGCCTTTGGCTCAGGTCATGATCCCAGGATGCTGGGATTGAGCCCTATGTCAGGCCCCTTGCTCAGTGGGGAGCCACCTTCTCTCTCTCCCTCTGCCTGCTGCTCCCCCTGCTTACTCTCTCTGTCAAATAAATATGTACAATCTTAAAAAAAAAAAATGTTAAAACTAGCCAAGTGTCATACACAAAGAATTCATACCTGCTTTGTGTCGTAGACTTTGCTTTACAACTCAGAAGATTTCATAGAGCAGTCCTAGGGCCATATCATATGCTGTGAGACACATCTATTTCTACTTGGGTAGAAACATAGTCTTAATACACTGTATTGATGTTTTCTTTCAAAGCACTTTATAAATCACTGTAACTGAATACTCTGATATTTTTTTAGAATATCTCCCAAGTATAGATGAAAAAAGGACAAATATTTGCATGTTTAAGAGAATGATACCTATTTGTTACCACAGGAGACTATGAACACAATTGCTTTATGATCTAAATGACTTATTTTCTTCTTTCTTCTGCCCTGTGGTATTGAGGATGATTAAACAATTAAGACAGATTGTTGGCATTATGAAAAAAAAATCCACAGATTTTTGAAATTCTCTCAATCTTCAAATAACACTATACCATCTATTGTCTTTTATAAGGTGTTGCAAAGTGTAATGGAAATGAAGTGTCCAGTTCAGATCTTAATGATTAAATAAATATAAATTTAAATACGTGTATAACCTATTCAAATAAATTTAGCCTAGAATATTCCGGAAACATTTTCATGACTCTTCTTTCCATAATAGAGCATGTAGTTCCCTGGTTCATAGATCCAAGCATTGTTGCATTCAACATTTTACTCTTTATCCAAAGCTGTGTTTTGGCTGAGAACAACACTTTCATAGATGTTTTTTCTCTACCATTGCAGTTGGCTGTCTTCTTTCTTTTTATAAATCACTTTATGAAAGCCAGTGGGGAGGGACAAAATGAGATGAAAGAAATGGCAGTTCTGGTTAAGCTCACTTAGTAGCCAGAGCACCCTCCCCGCAAAGTGGCCTTATTGCCTGATCAGGTCACATCTTTTTCTGTGCAGACTTACAAGTCACAATATTAACTCCCAATAGTCTAAAACAAGGAAAGCTTGATGCTTTTATAAAAGGAAGCAGGCAGCCAAAGATCCTAATTCCATACTAAAAGGTGACCGTTTTTTATATGCTTATCATTGCAACCTTCAGGAACCACCTAAGCTTTATGAAGGCCCTTTCCTTAATTCAAACCTTATATTCTTTTTGTCTTTTAAAAAGTAAACTTTTTATTGAAATACACATACAGAGGAACGCCTGGGTGGCTCAGCAGTTGAACGTCTGCCTTTGGCTCAGGTCATGGTCCCACAGTCCTGGGATCGGGTCCTGCGCGGGCTCCCTGCATGGAGCCTGCATCTCCCTCTGTCTCTGCATCTCTCTCTGTGTCTCTCATGAATAAATAAATAAAATCTTAAAGAAATATATATATATACAGAAAAAAGCACAAATCCTAAATATATAGTTCAATGAGTGTTCATTAACATACTCATGAAACCAACACCTAGGTAAGAAATGAGAACAGTATCAGCTCTGCTAGTCGTCACCCACACTAACCAGTATTCTAATACCTAGATTAATTTAGCCTGTTTGAACTTTACCACTTTTACAGGTTTTAAACTAACTTTTTAGAATGTTTATTGGGACTTTTCCTGACTAGAAAAGTAATATATGATCATTTTGAAAGACAGAAAAACATGTAGTTGAAAACCAGAAAGTTAGCCCTACCACCTGGAAGAATTTGAAATGAGACCATCCAGAAGAATGGTACTGAAACTTGGAAAATACTAGTATAAAATCTCCCAAACTGTGACACATTATAGACATTATAGAAAAAGACAAATAGGAAACTCTCAAGGGTGTTTTATAAGAACTACAAGTGTGCTTTCAAAGACTCACAGTGGATTTCAAATAATCCTCGTAAAAATTGATCAGTATTTTTTAGTGATCGTTTTAGGTTTCTTTTTGTTAAAGAAAAGAGTCCAAGCATGAGTAGGTCAAGGGGCAGAGAGAGAGAACCAGACTCCCCTCTGAGCAGAGAGCCCTACACAGGGTTCCACCTCAGGACCCTGAGATCATGACCTGAGTAAGCCAAAGGCAGACGCTTAACAGACTGAGCCACCAGGTGTCCCTCAGTGATTGTTTTTTATGTAAAAAAAAATTAAACTATTGAAAGTAAAGATTGGCTTCAGAGATACCTATAGTCTGTGTGACTTTTATTCAGTGTTGATTTGAACATATAATTTTTCAAGACTGCCAAGCAAGTTTTTCTCTCCTGGATGAGGGGGGAGGAGAGAAGCCATGGAGGGTAATGAGATCTGGCACCATCAGACATAATCGGATTCTCTTAAAGATTCCTATAA